TTTCAATCTCACATATTCAACCATTGTATATCCATCAACAACAAACTGTTGCAAAAAACGTTTTGTATTCAAAATACATGACATATTAGAATCTCTCTGTTGCAGACGAAATGCTAAAAACTCTCTTATGCTCACACATTTTCTACCAGCACCCATAACGATACTTGAGTTACCTAATGGAATATCTTCTCTATAACCATCTTCACCATATGGAAACAGTAAAGGATATTGTAGTCCAAAATATGCCGGGTGAAGCTCATTAATTCTTTGTAATCTCCCTGTCTTTGTTTCTACCAGAATATCTCTTTCTCCTAAAGATTCATCGAAATCTCCAACAACTAAAGCAACCACCTCAGAAACAGAGGGAAAATTATATGTCCTAGCATCACCAAAACGCCGACCGATCAACTTTAATCGCATGTTTCTTGTATCATCTTGATTGATCCTCTCCCTTTCCATTCGGAAGCTTTTAACCAAAACATTGCACTCGTTAAGCATGTTCTTTAATCGTTGAACAATATCAACATCCAATTGACTCATGTCACTGTCTCCCCTAAAAATAACAATGAAATATTTTTCAAATTATAACAAATCAATATGATAACCCAAGTGCTCTCGTAATGTAAACCATAAACAGAATACCTCACAGACGAAATTCTATTATCTATCTCATTTTCCGTATCATAAATGTACAACTGGGCAAACTTTGGTTTCGAACCCTCTGTAGGAAATAAGCTTCCAATGAGATCATAATTCTGACCATGGAGCTTAAAAATAGGAGGACATCTTCCTCTATTCAAATTATTCTCTACTCTCCCTCCCGTGGAAGTGAAAGCAAACATGTTGTTATATGACCTAATGTTTTCGAGGAAATGTTTGCTCTTTTGATCTATGCCATGAATCAAATCATAAAACTGAGTGGGTGGTTGTTTCATGGATGCAATGTTGATTTTACCATGCGTGCAACAAAGAGAATACTTTGGACTCTTCTTAGTAGAATTAGCAACCCGTTCTTCCATCCAAAATTGTGCACCACAATATGTACACTTGCATATTTGATCACCAATATCCCAATACTCTGTCACATACACATATGTAAAATCTATTATAATATAATCTATTATTGATTTTTTAAAATCAAAATTATTCAACATTTAAAAAAATAGAACCTCTAGAAGCATCGTTTAATATACTTGCAAGTTCTTCATATTCTATAAAATCATCATCATTACTCTCTTCACCAGATTCATTCATCAATGACTGTTCATTGTCTCTTCCAAATCCTTCCTCACTGGCACACGATCGAATGGATTTCCTTTGTTTATCATTATTTGTAAAAGCTCTTGCATGAGTACTTGTAGAAGTACAATTGTCAGTTAAGGACTGTGTACCAATGTTCAAACATCGTAGATTACCTGCCGGTTGATGGCGTGAATTTCCTAATAATTTCACATTGTTAGTTAATATTTTAAAATGAATAAAAATGTGTTAGATATAGGATAGTTTACCATTTGTAATATCAGACAATGGAGTATTATACTGTGATGCATTCACATTAACAAAACTATTTCCATAGTATAGGAATTTCCGACATAGGAGTTTGTTGAAAGGGCAGTTGCCTCCCTCCAACATAAACATGATTTTTCCTTTCATGTAGCCGAACCGCCCTTTCATCTATCTTAGTCGCAAAGGCGGTGAGTTATTACTCCGTATTATGTAGTATGTTAAGACCTGTGCTTTTCGTCCTGCTTATGTTGTTAGAACTCTGAATCTAGCGGCTGTGATTATATGGTTAGTTTTCTGTGTTTCGACTTCCCGGGCTGTCTAATTTGAGGCGTTTGGAGAGCCAGATCCGTGTCTTGGTGGTGCAACCCGGAAATGGAACCAGTTGTTGCAGCCATGGCGTTTTCGGCTCCCATTTCCCTCTAGAAACACAGATCTGAGCCTCTATAAGGATTTTTTTTAAATTCCATTCCTCAAAAAACAAAGTTTTATATTTTTTATGAAATAGTAGTTTTACTCTTGCGACATATGTTTTTCCGTCTTGCAATATGTGCTTGTTTTCAATTTCAACAGATGTGATCATCTGAGATCTTCCCTGATGCCTTTGAAATGTATCTAAAATGCATTTTAAATGGATCTGATTCCTTTAAAAAACATTATAATTTCTTCATATTATTGGTATCGTTAAATAAATGACATGTAAAAACGTCTTGATATCCAGAGAAGGAGAATAGAGGTTGACAGATCGAGCATGGAGATCATTCGGGAGCAACCATCAGCGGCTCATATCCAAAGATGAGTAAATATAATTCTTATTATATTATTTAGATTTCTATTTACAAACCTTTGATGTGTAAAGATGAGAAATTTTAACTTCACATTAAGAAATTGACAACAAAATAGCAGCTTTTGATTTTATATGATTTTTTTTCTAAAATAAGAAATTGACAACAAAATACTTGTATTCATATAACAAAGATATTTTTATTTGAAAAGT